TAGTGCCTCTGCTGTGCCCTGACCTGTGCTCTCGATATGTGTTGTCTGCTTTGAGCAACTCCCATTTCTCTGTAGACACCCCTGAGGCACTAAAAGTTTGCACCACGCATGATTTCCCTGCTTCTGAGGAGCAGCAGGCTTCCTGCTCAGTCCTGAAAGTCTTCAAGCCCTGACATTGCCGTGGCTCCACTGGAGGCTTCCATTGAGGAAGAGGCCATTTTCTCTGTGGCATAACAGAGGCCAGGAGCTGTTGGCTCACTTTCATATGAGGGTTTTCCCCTTTGCCCTTTTTGTTGGGAATCTCAGAGTTTGCTTTGTGAGCAGCTTTCCTTAGGTGAAGGGCCTCTAATACAATTACCACCTCATTCTTCTTCTTCTTCTTTTTTAAGTTATCTGTGTTATCTTGCAGAAGCTTTCCAAAATAGTTTCAAAACTAGGTGAATATCATGGATTAATGATTAAAAAGAGGGACTGGGGGGGGTTCCCTCCTATTTCCTCATGGCCTTTGAAGAGTGATTTGAGCCAGCTGTAGGTCTGTGAGTGGACACATACATAGCAGTGAAGGTGTTCATGATTGGACTGGAGTGGCCAGCTGATGGTAGAATGCACCTGTGTGTGTGTGTGTGTGTGTGTGTGTGTGTGTGTGTGCGCGCGCATGTGTGCGCGCTCGTGTATCTTTCCAGAACAGCTAACATTGAGTGTGGGGAACACCACTGGATAGGCTGGGGCCTGGGTAGAGTAAGGGGAGACAAAGAAAGCTGGTGAGTACAGGTGTGCCCCTTCCCCACTCCTTGCCACTATGATGTGAGCTGCCCTACCCTGTCACAGAGGACTAAGACCTCAGGCCCCATTAGCCAGGATCAGGTTGCCTCTCTTCCTGAAGTTGGTCCCCTCTGGTTTTTGCGTATAGTAGCGAAGCTGAATAACCCAGCACATGGGGCACAGACATGTACATACTTAAAGCCCTGGGAGATATCTACGTGGTCTCATGTCTGCTTGGATGCAGGCCTGGCTTTGAACTCTGCCTCCCCATTGCACACTTAGTACTCTTTACCCTTCAGCCTCTTTGTCCTCATTTAAAATGGAGACAATGATTAAACAGACCAGCAATGCAAATGGCAGTGCAGTGCCCAGCACACAGCAGGTCCACAGTAGGCCTGCTACTGTTACTGCTCTGTTGGGCACAGGCCAGACTTTATCCAAAACAAAACAAAAGCCAGAAAACTGGAGTATACATCTGCAACTTCTGTAGGATTTTTTCTAGACTTTTCTGTGTGGAACCAAGATGACTCCATGTAACACAGGCGAGTTGGACTGAGGAGGGCTATGGAGTTACTCCTCCAGTAGCCCTATGCCGGTGCTTGTTTCTAATTCCTGATTATAGCTGGTCATTGCAGAAGTCTCAGGATTTCTGAGATCATCTACTTAGCAGTCGTTGACAACACTTCAGTGGTTCTGAGACTGTCCTCTTTGCTCATTGGTCACGCAGCTTGCACCTCCTTGATGGGAAAATCTCCAGAAGTCCACCTCCTAGTTTGGCCCATTTGCCTGATTTCATTATACTGCTAGTTTTAGTTTTTCTTTCAGTGTTCTTACTACTAAATTCAATTGCTCGGGGCTGTTTTTACAGAGAGGTCACATGTCATAAGACACCTTGTAGACAGATGTCCAGGCTCCTCCTCTGTGCTTTGGGAGTGAGAGGAATAGCTTTCTTCTCCCTGACATGAGATGGTGTGTACCAGGGCTTGGGGAGTCAAGGGCCTGGTTTTAGCTGTGAGTCAGGGATTGTCTGAGGGAACCGTGGCTTCCTTCAGGCCTGAGGGAAGGATACCTATTAGATTCCCCACCCTGGTCTTCTGCCTAAACTACTGTCTACAAAAGGAGGCTCTTAGAAGCTTATGCTGCCACCAGGCAGTGAGGGGACGCAATGCAGCCGTGTGCTGGAGTTTGTACTGCAGTCTTGTGGGCGGGAAGCAGGTGATGGAGTAGAAAAATATAAACTGAACTTCCTCTTAACAATTGTGTGTGTCCGAGCTTATTCTTTTAGATTCCCCCTTCCGGCCTCTTCAACAATGAAAATGAAAGGTTCAGGGGGCTAATCAGCTGGTAGAGTGCCATCCACAAAAGCTTGGGGACCTGAGTTTGGATCCACAGACCTTGGGTTAAAGACTGGAAATGGAAACACATGCTGTCATTCTGCTGCTAGGGTGCTGGGGAGAGACTGGGTCTGTCTCTGGAGCTGTGGATCCCTGGAGCTCATTGGCCTGTCAGCCTAGACACACAGACGAGTTTCATGGTGGAGCACAAGCAAAGAAAGACACTTGATACCGACCTCTGTTCTCTACACTCATGCGCACACATGAACATTTGCACCTATATGTTCATATGTGTACACCTAAAAGGGAGGCGGGACGCCAGTGGCTTCTCCCTGTAATGCCAGCAGTGGCGAGGCAGGTTCAGGAACATGCTTAGTCCAAGGCCAGCCAAGGCTGCATAGTGACACTGTCTCAAAACAAAGCATAGGGTAGAGATGGCTGAGCAGCGAGTACTTGCTGCCCTTGCAGAGGACCTGAGTTCAAATCCTAGCGTGTATGTATGTCATGTCAGGCAGCTCACATCTGT